ATGGAAAATTAAGGATGTATTTAACTGGCTCATGGTAGTCAAGTCCAGTCCATTCCACTCCACCAAACAAGCAATGAGATTGTGGCATTTGCGTGGTATTGTTTTCTGGCGACTGCAAATTGGTTGTTTTACACTGCTAAATGGAGCAAAGTTTCACCACGAGCTGTCACTTCTCTTATGCTATCTTCAAAGGCTGAAAGCAGATCTCTCATCACTTGTGTCCTACCTTTGATCACTGCACAATGAAGGAGAATTATTCCATCTTTTCCATTAACTAAAAACTATACACAAGCTACTATCTATTTTTACGATCTCCTTTACAATCTCTCATCCCCATTAGCTACCGCAATATGCAATGGACTGAAACACTTGTGGTTCAATTCTTCTGCTAATTTCGGCATCATATTTAAGACCTCTTTCACAAAATGAAGGCTGCCCCCCATGCAAGCAATCTGTTGGAGAGTCTGCACCTGATAAGGCAATGGCCCTCATCAAGAAAGGATCCTTTTTTTTTCAGACTAAGCAGCTAATGAACATCTCCATTACGAGCAGCCTCAATTAGCCTTCTGCCTAGGTTGTAGAGACAATTTTTTCCGAGCCTTAGATCAATTGAACTACTTTTAGACAGCAATTTCAGAAAATGTACCGTTGTTGTTTTACACATTGGTTCAAAATTGACCCTTGCAACTATGCAGTCACATATGAATAATCGAATAAATATTTGTATTGTTGACATCAATTTCTTTCTACATTCTAAATGATTGTTTGATATTGATAAACATTGAACATGGAAGGGATTAATAGAATGTTCCATATTCATAAAGGTAGTGTGAAGACTCAAGTAATGCATAGATGACTTGAGTATTATGTTTCTATGTGCAATTATATATTTGTAAAGTAGTACTATATAAATGAAAATCGTTTAGTGACTAAGTTGTAATAAAATAAAGTTTAGTGACCAACTTGAAATTTATCTGAGTTAAATGACTAATAGTGATTTTTACCATATTATCATACAAATGTAGATCTAAGAAGATTCATTTTTTTCCTTATACGTTGATCGGAACAATTTTATTCATTTATCAAAATATAAGTTGTGTAACAATGTGTTTTTTGATACAAGCAACTGACTTTTATTATCACTAGTAATCATTGACACCTTTATTCGTGTGCTCAATATTAAATAAATTGTAGGAATGTTAAAGAAATAAAAATGGAAAATTATTATAAAATTTTATTACTTTAAAAACTATACTATGTGGAACACTACACAACAGAGAACAAGTGCAATTCTTCCAATATCAACATAATCAAAGCTGTAATTAATTAATTATTACACAAACTTTATTGCTGAAGAGGATCTTAAAAACTATATTGGCCAACAGCATACAAACTGAAAAGATTAAAAATATAAAAAGATTTAGAAGAATAATCCTTCCTTAGGCAGTCCGTGATGTACCTGATGGTTTTTTACAGTAATCTCTGGCCACCTTTGAAAGAATGCCTATCTTTAATGGCGTAGCAATGGAAATGATAACAAATAATAGGGACTGATTGCCAGGTGCCATCTCGATCATACAAGTATCGTACGTTACTGAGAGTGCCAAAAGTGAGACTCGCAATTCCAATTGTAAAGGGAATCCAAAAGTGAGAAAATATATCATCTGAACAGATGTGAAAAACCCAATTGAGTTGAAAATCTGGAATAGACCGAATGAAACTGAATTCTGTGTTCCCATCACTGCCTTTCCAGCAGTATGTGCTGGTGGCTGTGTGGTGTTACTGTTACTGGTAGGGCTAAAGTCTTCCTGCCAAACACCACCAGGTGGACTAAGGACGGATTGATATGTTGCAGTTGTGATTAATATAGCTACCACAAGCAATGTACTTCGAACGTCACTTGGAGTCTCTTTAGCTTTGTCAAATTTGAAGTAGTCCTGCAATTTCTCATAGGGCTTCCGAGGCCGATCTCTCCTTAATTCATCGTTTGGATCACGAGTGGGAACGACCCTGTTCTCAGTTTGTGTTGTCTGTCGCACTGAAGCCCCAGCTAGCCTAAGCATTTCCTCAATTTCACCATCACCCCCTTCTGATAGTAATACGTCAAGTGGTGTAAGTCCCCTTTTGTTCAAGGAATTCACCTCCAACAAGCCTTTCCTAACAAATTTCTCATCCAGCATCAACTCAACAACCTGATTTAACAAAAAATAAATAAAATTCTGAGTATAATGCATAGACCCAACGATATCGCAACTCTAAAATAGAACACTAAGAGCATATTTAATGGGTTCGTGGTAATAGACAGTATATCTCATCCAATCCATCCTGCCAAACAAGGGATAAGATGTTGGTATTTGCCTCGTATTGCTTTCTGGATGCTGCAAGATG